TCTGAAACGTGACATTTATAGCTGTGCCTGGACCTCTTTTGCAGTTGGTTCTGCAGTCCAGAGCTTCCACGGTTTAAAAAAATATCAAAGTAGCCTTTCTGATATTTTGCTGGGGCAACCACCGGGGGGGGGTGGGGGTGGGGGTGGGAGGGTAAGCAGCAACAGGGTGGTGAGCACTGAAAAACCTGGAAGAGCTGCTGGTTATGGGAGAAATGTTATTTCAAGCCAATCAAAGCTTTCCAGCTGCTTGAAGGTAGCGTAACTGCCCTGTAATTTCCCCTTGATTGTGGACGTTTTTGGTTGTGGGATCTCCATCCCTTCCTCAGAGTTTATATAGATTAATGCCTACATACCCTGAATAGCACATCACTGCAGGAATGGGAAAACATCTCCTGTAATGCTAAACCTGGTAGAGCAAGGGATCTTATCCTGTACTCAGAAGTACCTCGAATACTTTTTCACATCACAATGAATTGTTCTGCTGAATTTATGTGCCATATATTAAGCAGGAAGATTAACTGAATTTTGGGATTTTCTGTTTCCTAAGAGTTTCAGACCAAAGTAATTGCTGTTGGAGGGTTATGGTAGAATGTCTTTGTACAATTCCTTAAGGAAGAAAATCTCCAACAACTTGATCTGTTTGACTAGCATGGCAGAGGACTATACACAGGACATTGATTACTACTCAGGCAGTAGAACCCATAATACTATTTCCTGCTACCAGCAGCTCTGGGGAAGCAAGCTTATCCTGAGATTTTTAGGATAAAAATAGCTCTAGAACTAGAAAATTGACCTTTCAGCCTGCTTCTTCAAAGTCAGTAAAGGCGCCTTTAGTCTACTGTGCATTCATATCACAGAGTGTGACAACAGCTCTCTTCTGAAAGAGGATGCCCACCAAATTTGGCACCTTTAGAACTGAACCCCATTGCTGAATGCAATTAAGATGCGTCTTTCTCATTTGTTAGCAGATAGATCTTGAGGAATATTAGTGCTGGATTCCTTCAGAAAACATCCGTGAAGTTACCAAAGTCAATATTATGTCTCATCCACTATCCAGGGTGCCAGCAAATTTTTTGACAAATACACTCAAGACCAGCTTTTCCCACAGTACCAAGTCCAGTCAGGATTCTCTGCACCTCTTAAGAAGCAAAGAGTTCAGGCTTGCAATGCAGTGGTTTCATATGATAACTAAATTAGAAAGTGCTGAAATACTAGATAATCTGTCCTTGTATTGGTAATTACAGCCAAAATTTAAGCAATCTTTAAACTTATGTTTGTTAAACTTAATGGAATGAACTTCCGTGATTGCTCTTTGAAAATCAGGTTCTTTCATACCACGAATCATTCTTACCACTGTTGAATCTTCCAGGTTTTCCAACAACCTTTTAAAAGCAGCACTATATTATATTATAATGGCTCTCTTACTAATAGTATATGCAGATGTATTGTCACCTTCTTCCTCTCATTCATTCAAGAACTCTGCAACTGCTATTTGCAATGGATTGTGCTGAAGAACTTCCTCAATCCTAAGCAATGGTCCTTAGATGCTGTTTGGAATCAGAATTTTCCAGGTTGGGTGTTGCATCACCCCTCGCCTCTCTCTTTGCCTCTGGTCTAGGACATGACTTCATGATTGTTGAGCAAATGCACAGTAGAGATGGAGAATACAGGTTTCTTTTTTTTCTTTCCCAGGCTACTTGCCACTGGAACTTTGAAAATAGGATGGAAAACACTTTCCATTTGGTGCAGTAGAATCTAACCCGAGATTAGCTCAGTTGCTTATAGCATGGTGCTAATAACACCAAGGTTGTGTGTTTGATCCCTGTATGGGCCATTCCCTTAAGAACTGGACTCAATAATCCTTGTGGGTCCCTTCCAATTCAGAATATTCTGTGAAATTTCTGTGAAACTTACATTAAAATTACTTTCTCTATAAACTGCCCTCTCTTTGTAAGAGATAGTTTCCTCTAAGTCTTCTCCGATTATTTCCCCAGACAATGCTAATGCTGCATTTAGGGAGCTGTCAAGGTCTTAAGAGATTACTGGATCACACTGATTTTTTTAAGGCCAGTACTTCTCTTTGCCAATAAGTGTGTGTTCTGGGAACTCACTTAAAGATGCTGATTTACTATATGCATCCCCTTTTACCTTGAATAACTCCTAAGCAAAACGGTTTTGTGGAACCTAGGAAATTGGTCAGAGTGAGGTTTTTCAGAATGAGTGCCGTTTTCAGATCTCACTACAGTTTTGTTCTTATCTGCTTCAGACCTTACCCCTCAACACATGCACTGCTTTGCCTTCTGTTCTTCTATGTAATTTTCTATCACCAATGCAGACTTCTCCTGCAGTGTTTGCTGCTGGAAGCAGGTGCTCTGCATGTCCTCAGTTCTCTAACCTGTTTCAAGAGCCACCCCAGTAAAGACTCACAGGCCCTCCACTTAACTCTTTTCTTCTCTCCTTCTGTTACTTATTTTTACACAGTTGTACATGTTATCAGCCTGTTGTAGTAAGGTTTTATTTTCTCACATGCCTATAACGTAGGCAGAGACTTAGTCAAAGAACATGCAAATGAAGCCACATAACACGTGGTATTGCACACCGACTGGCTTAAAAATGAGCAGGTGCAAATTATCACTCCATAATGAAACATTCAATTGCAGGGAGATTTAGCCAATGACTTGACTTAGTAAGACTTTTTCCTAGAGAAAGGCAACTGCATATGGCATCCTTAGTGGAAAATACAAATAATATGTGTAAGGCCAGCATATGAAGAACCACCACAAGTGGGCCTTGCACTCCAGGGCTTTGAACTACTGCACTGCCAGCACCAAAGCAAAAACAAATTGAGAGGAGCAGGTTCAGCCAGCTGCCCACAACTATGTTTACCTGCAAGGTAGTTTTATGTGCTCCAGCGAAATCTTGTTGGCAGGCACACCAAATTGAAAGTATTTCCATACTTAACTATTCAGATATATGCATGTGTGATAGAGGGAGGAGCACTGATCTAGATGAAGTCTGGCACATTCACTGCAGAATTGTGGAGGGATTGGACTTAGAAGTCATGACTCTGAAGAGATAGGACGGAAAAGGGATAAATGGATACAGCAACAGAAAGGGCAAGGGTGGAGGGGGGTGCAATCCAGGGAGTGTCATTGTCCTAAAAACATAGCAACATTACAAAGATCTGTGCAACCTCAGTTTTTCAGATGAGTTAACTGTTCATTTTTTTTCAGTTGCTGGTGATTCAGGAAGAAAGACTCCTAGAGAAAAGGCATTAATTATATTTTTGTGAATCCTTCTCATATTCAAAGGATTGCAGTGCTGCAGTTAGAAGCAGAGCAATGCCAGTGCTGGCAGCAAGAGAGACCTTAACTTCACTCAGAAAGGATAAGCAACCCTTACCTCCCACTTCGCTTGTTTAAGTAAGTGTGAATCAGTAACCAACTTGATTTGCTCCCTAGCATTTGTATGTCAAACACTTCAGCTAACCTTAGGACAGAAAGAGGGTTATAGCACCATTAGTGTGACAGTAAAGTATCTCATTTCCTCAATAAAAAGGCTATTCCATATTATTTTAAGCTACTTTTATAATTTTACAAGGAGTTACTTCCTTTCTAATATAGACATTTCACTCCTACTCCCCACATCAAAAATTCCTCCCTCTAATGCTGTTCACCCACCCAGTGGCAGTCTTCAGTGCTGAAGGCAGATCTGCTTAGCCCCTTACTCACATTTTCTGACCTTGCTGCAAGATTTCAAAAACACAGTAGGCAAATACTGTTGCACTGGCTATGTTAACTCCCTCAGTGCTGAGCACTTTATGGAGATGCACCCAGCACATCCTCTGAGTGTTTAAGTAATGATTCTTCAAGTCAAAAGTAGAAGATGCTTATACAGCTCCACACAGAACTATTTCCTAAGCATCTTCTCAAAATTATACAGAAAGAAATTCAGTTTTCAATCATTGTTCTCAGAGGTAACACCTAGCCTTCACAGGAAACTCAGGTGCTGAGTCTGAAATCAGGTCAGCAGCTTTCTAAACCGTGCTTTCTGTGAAGACTGCTTTTTTAGAAATAAAGTGATCCACACTGAAGACTCTGCAGTAGATGACCAAAACACAATGATCTTGAAGAAAAACAAGATCATGTCACTTTTACAGAGGACTCAGCTGAGTCAACATATACTACTTGATTTGTCTGGTCTCGGGTGCATCTTGGGAACAACCAACTCAGCAGGTTGCAGGCAGCAAAAAAGGTTAATACTTTTTCAGTTAGCAACCAGATGCAACTGTATTTTTTTTTAAAGATGGTGACATATTTCAAGATTTGTTTAAACACTTTTGAGAAAATGAGTGCTCCAGACAACAGCACAAACCCAACATAGCTCTTGGTTGCATGATATCTTTCAGGTAAAATATCCCAGCTTCTGTACTTGTTATAGAATAGCATGAGAAATCCAGAGATACACAGGCTCCTTCGACATGTGCAAGGCTTTGTATGCACAAATCACGCACAGCAGTGGGCATCACTGTTAAAACAGGTCAAACAAAAGCTAAAAAAGAATAATCAAAAAGATGGCAAACCATAGCTTGTATTGCAGATGGCATATAAGGAGCAGCATCCTTGAAAAACTCACTAGGTAAGAAACATTTGAGAGAAAAGAGGACAATATGCCTACTGGCTTTTGTGGATTCCCTTTTTTCATACAGACATTTCCCATGGCTGAGTCATGCCAGTTTAATCAGCTCCCACATACAAAATCCCTCTTTGTGCTGTGTTTGCTCATTACTTTGCGTGCATAAGCCCCTCAGCTCTATTGCTGGCTAAATATACCTCTTGCTGGCTGGTTTGTTTTTGTGTGGCTACACAAAGAGCTGCTCTAGCATGACTGAGTGAACAACAGAGTTGGAAAAGGCAAATGGAGGAGCTCCTGAACATCTCTCTAAAGCACTCAGCAGGTGAGGGGCACGTTCATAGAAGGATGACACAAGGTAACCACCTTTCGCTAGGCACAGGAGGGAATTGGAATGCTTAATTCATAGTTTGGCATTCTGTTACAGCCAGATTCAGCAAGGTAGAATACAAGTTTGAGGTGTAGGTGAGGTCCCAAAGCACGCAGGTGTTCAGACATCACTCTTGAGAGATGTTTTAATGATGGCAAGTTCATCATTCTGAACCAAGCCTAAAGATTAGCCTTGCCACTTCTTTTTCTGGGCACAGAATCATGTCTGTTTTTCTCAAACAGGGTTCAGAGCAAGTTGTAAAATGTCAAAGATTACCTGCTACAAGCAAACCCTTCTGCTCAGGAAGAGGTGCAAGCAACCACAATATAGAACTAGAACCTCCAGCTGGAGGACAGGCTGCTACCACTAACCTAGGGGCTGCAGAGGGATGGAGAAGCAAAGAGGGCTGTATTTCTGAAGGGTCTGTCAAGTGCTGTGTTGGTTAAAAACATCTGTTGCATGTGTTTCCACGAAACTGCCTCTCCTGCATTTGCTGATAAGTAATGTCTGCACCTGAAAGATACCATTGCTTTGTGGCTCTCACTCTCACACAACAAGCACAGCACTCCCTGTATAAACCATGAATAAAAAACTGCAGTATAATCCCCCTGAAATCAGTCATTACCACAGTTAAACTGTTAGCCTATTAACTATCCTCAGGGTTGCCTTTGGGCTCTTAACTGTAGCTAAAACTGATTTTCACAGGGATTATACTTACATAAGGACCAGAGACAGTCTAAATAAAGCTATGGAGTGTTTGTTACCAGGCAGAACAAAATGTAACCATTTAAGTTCTTCACAGCATCTCTGGTACCAAGCTTAAACATCCTTATTTGTGAATGGTCTCAGAATACTTACAAAGTCAATAACTTCGCAAACCACTATTTTCCACAAAAGTCATGCAAAAATAGAAATGAAAACACTCTAATTATTTCTCTTTTTTGAAGCTCCAAACAGATTTAATTAAAATAATCAAAAAAGTTGGTCTCTACTTAACGCCTTCATTATAAAAAGAACAATTAAAAATAGAAACTGAAGCTGTAACAGAACCAGATGAGTGTTTAACATTCCTGCAGTGAACTCCCTTCAGACTACTTTAGCAGAAGCCTAGCATTATCTGTTATTTCTTGAAATCCAAATTCATTGTTCTTCCTGATGAAAGATTACACACAGCCAACATTATTGCTTTTATTAAAAAATGTAAATAAATTCAAAAATTGTAAATCTCTGTGTACAATTTAATTTAAAAATTAAGTCAACTGACAGTCTTCTATGAGCTGATGTCAGATGTGGCTAAGGAAATAGATGAAAAGGATGAGGAAGAAGATGGTGAATATTCATTATTTGTTATTGATGCTTTTTCTTCATATTTTGGAGGAGATTCAGAGCAGAGGTATAGCATTGGTAAAATATCTGAAGGTGAGCTGCTTCCAGAAATTGTACATATGGTTTCATAGTCTCTAACAGCAACCATTCTTTCATCATCTGCAAGCTGTGCTCTATAAAACACAAAACTGTGTATTAGCATAATTCATTTATCTACAGACTTACATAAACATACATGTATGCACACACTTCCTAAAAATCCCTGAAGCAAAGAACTTGCACAAGAATTAGGAGTTCATTCGGTGCGCTACATTATGACTCATATGAAAATTCTATTATTTCTGAGGGGAAGGGCAAAACAAGCTCCCTTCTAACCTCTCAAATCACCAGTCACAGCCTGGCTTATGGGCATTAGCTGCTTTTGGCAGTGCTATCTCACAATCTTATTAAATCTCCTTCTGATCCATAGCTCCTAAAGTATTTTCCCTTTTGTAGTATATCACATACACACTGTCCCCTTCCCTTATGAAAGACAGTTACTAGACTTAGAACTGCATCACAAAAATCACAATCCCGAGCCATTTGAAATCTCGCATGAAAGGCCATCTGAAACTTTTACTAGGCATTCCAGCAATCCATGACAGACATAAGGAGTCATACTCCTGCTCAGAGCTGGAGAAACAGAAGCAACTGGACATGACCAGATTGCAAAGTTCCCAGTGACATTCAAGGCAGGCAGCCAAGTATTCACTGTCCTCTTCTGACGATCACAACTGAATCCAAACTGGTTGAACCCACATTGTTCTGATACCCTGCTCATCTTGCCCTCAGCACATTGCTTCAGCTGCTTTCCAAGGAAAGAGAACTCCTCTCTCCTCATGCCTCGCTCCCAGAGCTGACTCTTGCCTTTGTGCATACATCTGTACCAATACTGAGTGAGGAGCCAGAATACAGGGCATAGTCACCTCGTCTTCAGTGCTGTGACGAATCGGTGAGCGTGCGTGTTTAATAGAGAGAGAAATACTACAAGACAAATGCTGAGGTGCTATGTAACAGATTGCAGGAATAAAGAAAAATAATTCTGGGATCAGACCATGACTCAGCTTACTACAAGCTTTCTCATCCAGCACAGCCTTCACCACAGCACTTGCTGACAGAACACCAAGCAATGGACTGAAGAGGCAAATCACCTTTGCCTAGTAGCCATCCATATGTGAAATATATATGAAATACTATACCCTGCCATATTTGGGATCTTCAGTCATGGCACTATGTTATGAGCAATGAGGCCATTGCTTCTCTTCTATTAAAGCACTTGGGAAACAATTTGCATTATTCAAGATGCCCTGTCTGCGAGCAAGTGCTGAGCCATGACAGAGCAGGATTGAGTGAAAAACCCAGAAGTGGTATTAACTCAGAGGGTCTCTGTGAGGACACTAGGGAACATGGAAGGGCAACAGCTAGAGCACCCCCAGTCACAGAACACCAAAGCAGAAGGTCAGAGATTCTGGGTTTCAGCATCCAGTGTTGAGGTGTTTTATGCACTCCACTAGACACTGTCTCAACAAACTGCCTCTTTGTGTAGATATGCTCACAAGACAGAGAAGTCCAGACAGGCAATCAACAATGCTGACCGGATCACACAAAGTTCAGAGCACCAAAACTGAACATTTCTGTATTGAGACAGTTGATCCAGCTGGAGAGGATTTTGTAGAATTGATGAAGGAAAGAGGGGTTGACTGGTATGTCAGCTCTCTTTGCTGCTCTGTGCACCAGCAGGGAGGGCTCAGAAAAAGTCTGAAGAACTAGATTTTTTGCCATTCTCTCACCACCCTTTGTTTGACTTTTTTCAGTGCAGGATGAGCTCTTTGAGTTCTTTCACACCCTTTGATAATCCCTTTCCAAGCAACACTGCAGAAAAGGACTGTGTGGCCAACCTTGTGGGGGCATCAGGCAAAGCATCGCCAGCTGGTCGAGGGAGGGAATTGTCCCACTCTGCTCTGCACTGGGGTAGTCTCACCTTGACTGTTGTGTGCAGTTTTGGGCACCACAATATAAGAAAGATATTGAGCTCTTAGAGAGTGTCCAAAGGAGGGCAACAAAGATGGTGAAGGGCCTCGAGGGGAAGCTGTATGAGGAGCGGCTGAGGGCACTTGGTCTGTTCAGCCTGGAGAAGAGGAGACTGAGGGGAGACATCACTGCAGTCTACAACTTCCTTGTGAGAGGAAGAGGAGGGGCAGGCACTGATCTCTTCTCCGTGGTGACCAGTGACAGGACCAGAGGCCTGAAGTTGTGTCAGGGGAGGTTTAGGCTGAGTATAAGGAAAAGGTTTTCACCCTGGAACAGGCTCACCAGGGAAGCAGTCACAGCACCAAGCCTGTCTGAGTTCAAGAAGCATTTGGACAACACTCTCAGACACATTATGTGATTCTTGAGGCTGTCCTGTGCAGGGCCAGGAGCCAGACTCAGTGATCCTTGCTGGTCCCTTCCAACTCAGGATATACTAGGATGCTATGAATCTTGCACATTTTACCAAGCACATGGCAGGCAGCCCACGACTGAACTCAGAGCCTGAAATTGCAGGATAGAGAGAACTTGTGGCTCTGCACTGTACTTTTTCAGACAGGTGGTACAAAAGTCACCCTCTCAGCTGCTTGAAACTCCACAGCAGGTCCAGGTTCACACTCAGGACAAGAAATTTCTTCACACACATTCATTTGCTTTCTACATATATCAGTGAACATGTCAGAAGGGAGTTACAGCACATGCTCGAGCTGTAGCACAGACAGGCTCAATGTGGTGCATAACTCCAGCAGTAGCAGCAGCTGGTATGAAGTACCATCCAGCTGCAGACACCTTCACTCTGCCCAAGAAGAACAGTTGTGTCATGTAAATTTTCTTTTTCAGCAGCAGGAGCTTACTGGCTCTCCTATTGCTCTGTCCTTTGATTGCATTAGTATAACTCCAAGAGCTGATATATTTTACTTGCAACCTGACAACAGGCAAAAACTTCTATACTGAACAAAATAAAATGTTTCTTCACACAACAATTCATGCCTGGTCATAAGAGCTGCTGTCTTCCACAAAGCACTTTTGTTCTATCAATTCTGACATCTTCTCATCCCTACATCTACCCTTGTCATCCTGAATTGGCAGGTAGGCACTGAGTAATCAACAGATTCTCATCAGCTTAGTACAAAAAGAGCTCTCTATACAGCAGTTTAGGTGGAAAAGCAGCAAACTGAGTGAATTGTGTGTATAGCTAGGCCTTAACAGGCATTGCAACCCTCAACACAAGTCATCAACCTCAAGTTGGACAACCTCGGCCCATGGAAACCAAACACTGAGTATCTCCCTTCCCTAGGTGATATGAATATGCTCATTTTTTTGTTTGGGGACCAGTCCCCCCGTGCACTAGAGTGTTATACTGGTAGCAAGGAAGAGTGAGTAAGGTTTTTGATAGAGGTGTTTATTCTATGTTAATAAAGAAGAAAGTGATTTTGACAAAAGGCAGAACCACAGTCTGGGTTGTGCTAAGAGCAACAGAAGGAGACATTTGCTGTCTCCAGCACTGATGGGGAGAATGAGTTTGGAGGAGGGCACTACAAAACAAGACAGTACAATGAGCTTGTTGAGGGTGATTGACTAGAGAACTGAGTCGATCACACAGTGAAGCTGAACCTCAACAATCCACCAGGTATATTTCAAAGGATTGCTAAAAAAAAAACACAACACAGACATGTCTGTACAAAGTGTGGTAACAAGAATAAACACCAGTGCTAACACAAGCATCCCTTTCCAATGGCATTTAGGCCTTCAGGCAGGGAAAGGGTTTGTGCTTGCTTGCTTTAAAAGGAAGATTAGCACTAGAGTTTTGAAGTACCACTGACATCAGGCACATAGTTGGTACAGCTGGTCATGGAACACACTGCCTCATGTGAGTGGAAAAATCTGGAGTACAGTGGAAAGCTCTTAAAGCAGCAGTCCATCAACTACTATGACTGGATACAGCCAGGCAGCTGGGGCTCTTAGAATAACAGAATTGTTAAGTTTGGAAAAGATCTTCAAGACTGTCAAGTCCAACTGAGGGTCCAACCTAGCACCATCACCATTAAACCATGTCCTCACTATTAAACCATATCTACAGGATTTTCCAGCACTTCAGGGGATGGTGACTCCACAGCTTTACTGAGCAGTTTGTTCCAACGCTTTACAAACCTTTCTGTGAAAAGGTTTCCTAACATACAGCTAAGATAAACCTCCCCTAGCACAACCTGATATCATTTCCTCTTCTCCAGTCACTTGTTACCTGGCAGAGGAGGCTGACCTTCACCTTGCCAAAACCTCCTTTCAGGTAGTTGAGAGAACAATATGGTATCTCCTTTAGCCTCCTTTTCTCCAGACTGAAAGACTCCCACTCCCTCAGTCACTCCTCAGAGGATTTGTGCTTCAGACCCTTCATGAGCTTTAATGCCCTTCTCTCATCTCATCATTCTCTAGCACCTTAGTATTTTTCTTGTCATGAAGGGCCCAAAACTAAACCACGGAATCACAGAATGGTCTGGATTTGAAAGATCATCTAGTTCCAACCCCACTGTGCCATGGATAGGGATATCTTTCACTAGACCAGTTTGCTCAGAACTCCATCCAATCTGGCATTAAACACTTCCAGGGATAGGACATTCACAGCTTCTCTGGACAACCTCTTCCAGGGCTTTACCACCCTCACAGTAAAGAATTTCTTCTTAATATCTAATCTAAACCTACTCTTTCAATCTGAAATCATTCCTCCTTGTCCTGTCACTACATGCTCTTCTAAGAAGTCCCCCTCCATCTTGTAGGCTCCCTTCAGATACTGGAAAGCTGCAATTAGGTCACCCTGAAGCTTTCTCTTTTCCAGGCTGAACAAACCCAACTCTCTCAGCGTTTTCTCAAAGGAGAGATACCCCAGACCTCTATAACAAACTTGGTGGCTTTCTCTAGACTTGCTCCAACAAGCAATTTGGCAGCTCCTAATCCCTGAGCTTGGTGGTGGTAGCATCTAGCACATCAGCTATACAAAATGTATTTAAAGAATGGTTGCATAGGTAAGGCACATCATCTTGAGATGAAGTTGGCTTTGGAACCTCCCTTATCAGCTCTCTGGTCGTTCCTGCAATATCAAAGTATCCTTTGATCTCAACACACTGCCAGAGTAGGAACAAGGCAGACCAGCACAGCAGGTCTCACTGCCTCGAGCAGTGAGATAAGGGACACAGGAGAACTGAGCGCACTGACAGATGAAGTGACTGTGGGTAGATGTCATGAAGGGCTTGCTGCACTGGTTCTACAGAGGCTTCTAAAATATGGCAGTGTGGATATCATGCCATTGAAGCACTGCTGCCAAGGGCATCTTCTCTTGGACAACCTGTGGAAGAAATCTACTCTAAGGGCCACTGATCTAAGATTTTGTTCTCACTTCAGACATTCTTTCCAATCACAATAAACTGGTAAGAGTTTAATCCTCATAAAGGACACTCTGCGGTTTGTAATTCCTCTTGTATACTACAATGTTTTAATGCCAATTCAAGTAATGTAGCTGAAGTAAACTGAGTTATGCACTAGAAAATTTTGTCATGGCTAGTAGTTAATTCACAGTGATTATATAAGATCATGATCTCAGATACCTTGAGAAACAGCTCAAATTTCCAAAGACAGAGAAGAACACAGTCTTACCCATTAGTGAAGATAGAGTGATATGGTGGAGGATTTTCACTTGCAGGCAAAACACTCGACATAAGACAATGTGTCACAGTTGGTGACATAGGGTCAGCAAAATAAGGAGGTGGTGGGGGTGGGAATACCATTACAGCATCACCTAGAATTAAAAACACCAATTACTACCTCTGAAAAACTGAGCATCACTGGTTATTTTAACAGTATCTTAGAATTTGTACTTGCCTACCTTTTAAGATAGAGTGAGTGCAATGATCGCACATATAGAATTGTTATATTCTAGGCTGTTAGAGAACGCCAGAGGTACATTCAAAACTAAAATCATTGAAAAATAAAGATGCAGCATATTCATAAATGAAAGATTTAATTTAGAAAATTAAATTTCTAAAAAAAAATTAAATTTCTGGGGAGGGGGACCGTTCCATCTAGCTAAGAGACACAAACACTGTTGTCTGTCTTCAGAAACTGAAAGTGCAAAGCACACAGTTACTGTTGGCTCATTTTAAGGGTAGGCAAGCATTTAGTTTTCCTCACGTGTCTAAAATAGGCCAGTCTAAGTTTCTGCACATCTACTGCAGCGCTATAATGAAAGAATTCAAGTCATTAATGGTTCCGATGACTGATTTTGTGCGCCTTGACAGTTTCTCTACTGAATTACTTGCAGATCAAGGAACAATAACCACAGCCAGGACTATTGATACACAGTTTGCTATTAAATATACTATGCAGCATATCTGTCAATTGCAACTTCAGAATTGAAAAGTTTGAAACTTTTTTTTAAAAAACAAAGTTTGTATCAGTCAGTGAGCTGGCATAATTTACATAAACATTCAAAGCTGCCTGGCACCCTTTCTTCCTTTGTAATTTGTGTGCTTGGACAGTTCAGAGAGCATCAAAATTCTTGATTTGTGAGGTAGGCAGTGTTTTCTAACAAAGTCACCGCTGTTCCAGAACAACACTGTAAATCAGACCTCTACCCTCAGCCTTTCAGTTTAACTTTTCCTGACTGAAGTATAAAAGGAATCCACTAATTTCGCTTTCTTGCCTTAAAAGACAATCTGAATTCCTTCCTACTGCTTTATCCTGGTGGCTGGAAAACTGACTTCAAAGCCTCCTGTTTCCTAAAGGTCACCAGGTCTATAAATAGGCTTGAATTTCATTATGGATTTCAAGTTCAGTCAATCAGATGACAGTCAAGCAATGACTGACTTTTAATTAATCAGTGAGTTTATTACAATAATCAGAGTAATCAGAATTATCAGAACAACCTACACATGGAATGTATTCATCGGGCATTAAACCAGTGCTACATACAGAGTATTATTCTCTGCTAACACACCACATTTGCTCAAATACTGTGCAATTAACTGAGGCATCTTGCAATTATATCTCTGACGGATAGAAGATATGGCCACAATTTAAAAAAAAATACAATACACTGCTTATGAATCAGATTCTTCTGTTTAAGGGGTCAGAGGCTCAAGGCTAAAAGAAATCTTAAATATAGTCACAGAATTCATTAGACCTGTGATCTGCAGTGTCAACTACATCCTTTGAGAAAGGGATTGGGATTGGACTCATTTGTGTCATGTTATGTTGCTTCCTTTACACAGACAGTCAGACCTTCTTTTTTATGCCAAAGGAGGGGTTTTCCTTTGTGAGAAAGGTAGCTGAACTGACCATACAGAAAACATACGAGACAAAGCAACATTTTTCTGTTTTGGCTGGCTTGAAATGCCAGAACTGACATGCCTAGAGCTCGAATAAGTAATATTCAGAGATAAATAATTAGTGAGAAAAAATCCCTATTAACTCTCAAATATAAAGTTCCAACATTATTTACCCACCTACTGTAACGTGAAAAGATTCAGGGCTCTGAGGATGTTCTTCACTTTCACAAGATTCGTGGTTGAGATTTAAGTTTTGTTTCTTTTTAACATGAGCTATCACGAAGAAACACAACCCAGTGAGCACAATCAAAGGTCCCATGATTTGAAGTGACAGGAATCCACAGCCCTGGAGGTTCACATCAGAACTGCCGGTGTGGTTGAATTGTATGGTATGCCAGCCAGGGCTGCAACCAGGAACCCAAATTCCCAGGATGCTAATGAGCATTCCACTAGTTAAAAACAGGAATCCAAATATGAGAAACTGGGCAAACTGACAGTTCCCATGGCAAAAAACAAGGCTGTACACCTGCTCATTTTGCAATTGTCTTTGTCTCATATACATCCTGGCCCTTGATCGTGCCAGTAAAACACAAACCAGTCCAGTTACAGCCAGCACTGGCCCAGCAGCCTTAAGGACCTCATTACAGTCACTGAAGGTTCCAGATGGGCATGACTGGAGAATAAAGACTGAAAGCAGAAATCCAGTGCACAGCAACACAGCTCCAAAAACAAAAAGGAAAAAAACAAGTTTCCCATGCTGTTTGTTATTTCCTTCACCTCCTGGTGCAGGAACAGCCACTGGATACATTACAACAGAATCTCTTCAAGCAGATGAGTTGTTAGCATTAAATGGCAGCAAACTACAGCAGATCTGTGAACATGAAAATACACAAATCAAAAGAAAAAAAACTCAGCGAGACTAGCTACATTCTGTTTTTTCCTTCCAAATTTGCTACTCAGCTTTTATTGTATACTCTCCTGTACTTTCTCTTTTGTAGTACCTCCACTATGGAGGTACTACAAAAGGTACTATGGAGTCTAATCAAGTCTGCTGATGTTAAATGCCAATAAAAAGACTGAACTTGCTTTACAGTTATACTTAAATCAACTGTAATTGCTGTTGCACAGCTAAATGAATTGTTTCTTTAGAGAAACAGTCTTATGATTAAGGGGACATTATTTTCAAAGGCTGAAAATTTGGAACAAGCACAGGTTAGCTTTCCCCTTGAAAACAGAAAGCTACAGGAAACTTTTGTGACGAGCAGGGAGTGACAGCTTTTGAGAGACAGTATCCTACTGCAAATAAGCAATGACTATTGGACTTTTTAACCAAGCAAACCTTCTAATACATACCTTTTCAAAGCACAAAATACATACCTTTACAAAGCAAGACTTTTCAAAGTCTTGCTTCTCCTTCTACAAGCAATAACGTCCTTTCTGTTTCTCTTCTTAAATAAGCTTCCTGTCCTATACAGTTGCAAAAGTAAGCATAGAGAAGATTTTTCATTCTGTTCTGAAATGACCAAAAAACCACCAAACCCCAAATCCCCCACATTATAAATACCACATAGTTCAACTCTCACTGATTCCATAGAGTTAGTAAGCATAGTGCTCCTGCACTTCAACTTCCCCTGCTTCTGAATCCTTTGTCTGTGTTCCAAAAATCTTTAAAAAGAAATTAACAAAGGCAGCTTGCAGAAGGCTTGTGAGCCCACAAGAGTCTAGATTCAGAAGTAAAGTAGAAGTAAAGTAGAAGAAAGTAGAAAATAGTGTTGAGGCCAATAACAGCCCATATGGTACTATGGATAACAAATCTGCTGGATGTGGGTAAACTGCAACTGGGAAAGCCTGACTGAAAGTTAGAAGAGAGTTCCATTCAGTGAACTCTAGGAAAAAACCCGTAAAAATTCTGCCATTACTGACAAGGAAGTTTGTGCTGCTCTGACACACTGGACTACAGGGCTCAGATGAACATCTGTACTCACCTCCAAGGTGAATAGCAACCACGGAGATCTTGGCTACCATCCATCAAAAGCCAACCTGAAACACAGGGGAAGTTCAGACTACAGAAAAGAAAAGTCTCATGGATAAACCATGAAAAAAGCCATTCCATACCAAGTGTAGGAAGTAAGCATGCTCATGCTGCACTGTTTTACCACCGCCCTCTTCCCCTTACTAGCAGTCTCCTGTGACAGAGAATTTCACCTATGAATTAGATATATGAGGAAGGATATATATAGGGACTGGTGAAGTTTGTCACAGATGGAAGCAGGAAATTGACTTAATTACTGCTGTTTGTTAGTTAACCTTCAGCCTTTTCTCTACCAGCTTCCACTGCCCTGCTACTAATTCAGATGACTGGAAGCTAAAAAAAGTCCAGTTAGATTGGATCCTCCTTACATATGCCTCACCAACAGTTATTCCACAAGAAAAACAAAGTATCATGAGATTTCTGGAAGCAAACTGTTGAACATGCCTCAGCCACAACATGCTTTGTGTCACTCCCCAGTAACTGCAGCGCCCCACCGGGATGAAAACAAAACACAACCATAAAACCCCCTAGTCACTCAAATACACAATTAGTTATCTGCAATGTAAGGAAATCTATTCAGTCACTACTTAGCCACTTGTAAGAGTAGAATCCAAATAAAGAATTGGCTGAGCAGATGCACGAACGATGAAGTTACAACAGGTTTTACTGTTAAAGACCAAAAGAGGTCCACCAACAGCACAGGAGAAGGCAGAGCATATCACACAGGTAAAAGGCACAGTAAGCACAAGACTTGACAGGTAACGAAACACAGCAAGAAGGCCACTCCAGGAAGCAACAAAATCTCCTATCTGGCTATCTTGAATAGTAAAACTGAAGGACTTTCCCTTAATGTGTTCCATTACTGTGATCAGTTAATTTGTAAACTATGTCTGCAAAGTGTTTCTTCAAGGTTCTGAATTCAGTCTAGCCCTCTACTAAGACTGATCTGAAAAACTGCTAACTGAGGCTCCCTTGGTAGAAGAGTCAGATTCACACTGGGGAAAAAAATTGGTTATAAAGAGCACTAAAGATAGGACAGTTTGTCACCAAGAAAAAAAGAAACTACAGAAATTCTGATTGATTTCAAATGGAAGACCTTTACCTCACCACACTTTCAATACTGCATGAGCTACAGTCAGTCTGAAGGCTCTTCTTCTGAGCAGAGAAAATGGATTGGGTTGGTCACCCTTCCTTGATTACAGTGGTCTTTCCTAAGTTAATAAAATTGTTTCTGATAACTGCATATGCTCCTTCCTGTCTAGAAATTTTCCCTATTCTCATAAATTATCCGAGGTGGCTGAGATTTACTGACTTAGCACCAAATACACAAAACTGACTAAAGGGCCTCTGAAACACACACAGACAAAAAAAACACCACCAAAAAAAAAAAATCCCAACAAAACCCAGTTCCAGACACAACTGTCTTGAGATATTTTTCTGCTGAGGCACATTAACCATTATAACAACAACACATTATAATTAGACAGAACTCTAAAGCCTTTCTTTGCAGTTCCCTCTAGGGAAGAAAACATGGACGTAAGTACAAGTAAATTAGGACAAAAGAAAAAAATGTGAAGGGGGGAAGAAGAAGTAAATACAAATGTACAGCCCTTAAAAAGAAAAACCTAGAGATTTGTTCTCGTTACTCCAACACAGCGCCTGCTTCTCTTTCACCAATCTTGTTGTTATGAGATTAAGTTAAAACACACATTAGAAATTAAGCTTGTGCATATTTTTTCAATTCTTTCAGGCCACAAAAGAAGGAACATTTAGAACAGTCTGTTGTGGCTTTGAAGATGAAAGCCACAGATTTTGTGCTGCAAAATCCAAGAGAGAACTAATTTTCATTTACACTATCATGAAATTTAAACAGAAAACCCCACGCAAGATTAAGCTTTATTTCTTGTGTTTCAATAAAAAGTATCTTAACAAAGAAGTAAGCCTTAAATTGACTGTGTGCTTGAAATATTTCCACTAGATCTGATATCCCCACAGGCATATTGATATAAGGGAATTTACCCTATGGGGAAAAGGGAATTGGAAATATAGTTGGTAATGGAAGTCTGGTTATAAGCTTAACTTAAATTATATAGTGCTTTACCTTTTTCTAAGTCAGGCCTGTGCCAGGTATATGGAACAGGAAATAACATCACAACTTCTTACCACTTCTGTGTGTAACGGTTGTATTACAACTTTCACTTTATGTACAACTTCAAGAATTTGAAAACATTTCTAATACAATTCTTCTTCAGTCTTCAGAGGACAAAAGAGTCCTATTGTCCAAGATTTCCACTGCAAACAGCAGGGCTATAAATTTACTTTCCTCTTACTCATATGAAATTTGATGGCCTCATGCAGACATTATGAATTCAGGAACACAGAATTAAAAAGAAAAAAAAAAGCATTGGAAGAATTACAACACTGCTAACCCTCTGTTTTACAATTCCCAGACTAGGCCCAGTTCTCCCTCTTTTTGCTTGCAAAAGCACACAAATACTTTCATGCAGAAGAATCAGGTCTAGTCTGTATTGTTATTTCAAAAACTATAATACCCTGTCAGCTGTAGTCCACAATGGAAATCCCAGTAGAATTTTCAAGCCATCCTTTTCAAGGACTTCAAGTTTTCCACTTTTTCCAAAATTTGAACTGCTATTGGGAAGTTGCCACTGTGTGATTATTTTTTGTCATGTCTTCTTTTACTTTTCTTCCCAGGTTTCAAATTAAATCACAATTCCTTATAGGTCAAGCTACCTGTAAGGAAAAATTCTCTTGACTTCATTCAGTTTAACTTCCATGTCAAAACATGAATGGTTCCCTACTTCTTCTCATTCCCTGTGCCTAATTTCCTTCTTTGTTCTCATCTGCCTCCGTACCCACATCGTTTTCTGTTCTTTACATACACAGAGTCTCCCCCTGGACTGGACTCTTAACCTGACATTCAGCAGAGACACCCACCAATGAGTACAGCTGATTAAACTAAATTGGAATGTGCAACCTTCATCCCCACACTCTTCTCTCCCCATGGAGGAACTTATTTGGAGAACTAGGGGGAGATGCCCAAAGGATGTACTTTCAGTTTTCTACTTTCAAGCAACATTAAGACTACATACTCTAACAAGTTCTGAGATGTCAAATACATCCAATTTGATCTCTTATGTATGCAGCCTCTAATCAGTGCTTGACAATGCTCTTACGTCACAGAATATACAACTCTGATATCTTAGGAGGAAGATTCCAAGATTTAGACACTGTGCGTAAAGATTACTAAGGAGGGAAACTCTGTCCCAGAAACTCTGCCCATCCAGGTTGACAAAATCATTGTTTCAGCTCACAGTATAGGAAGGGTAATGCTGTGCTATGATTTATGACTTGCAGGTGGGGCAAGAGTCAGTGTCTAGAGAAGTGCTAGAAAACAGCTGCAGTAGGAAATTCCGGAAAGTGGGATCCTGCCAGTCTCCAGACACATGTGCCCCAGGGATCCAGGGATCCTTCTCACCACAAACCAGCACTGTCAGGGATTCTGACCTGTGCTAGACAGAACTGCATTCTGCAAAGCTGTCAACTCCTGTCTCTTTGGCCTTCAAGAGAAAAGCAGCTACAGTAAAAGCTGATCCACATATGTTCCTCACTCACTTCATCAGGGAAGAATACTGATGCCACAGTTGGATGCAAGGATCCCATACAGTGAGGAGCTTGCAAAACAAAGCTCGGTAACCTGTTGGTTGGATGCCATGCAGGCAACTAGGACAGCACCTAGATTCAAAAATTAGCTCTGAACGGTTCCATGCTTGTGGGTGGGATGCTTTTTACGTGACACACTAGTGGCACACAAGAGCCATGGCAAAACATCTCCTATTTTCTAGAGTACCTGCAGGGAGACTGGGGAGAAGGTAGACACAGTTAAAGCCAGAGCTGACATTTTTCAAACAGGTAACACAAGACAGATCAGTTATGGGAATTCTGTCCCATAGGGCTGATGTACCTCAAAGCAGCAAAAGGCACAAGAGACTTACAGATCTTTGATGCACAGGACAGACCATGGAGACCATCAGGGAGATGTAGGGCTCCAAAAGCTACCTGAAGCCATCCTGTCCCAGCTTCTTGAGGCTGGCCTGGGGCATTAAGCCACAGACAACTTAATGGACAAGCAAGTAAGCTCTACTCCATCTAGGAAAGGCAGCATTCCATGGCACACCCCTCCTCATCCACCAGTCATCCTCATCCATCAGGCATGCCCTATTCTAAGTCAATCGGTGTTTTAAGACACCCTAAGGTCTTCAACAGGATGGACTATGTCCCGAAAACTCCCGTGCATCATTCTGGAGCAAGGAGCGGGACAGGGCAGCCTGTCCACCACCTCTCCACGAGGGAGCAGCATCTGAGCCTCCTCACCTGTGTACTCCCAGTCGTATGCCAGCATTAGTCAAGAGAATACTGCGTGTCAGCAGAATAGCCGAAGAGACCCCTTCAGAGATATTCCATCCTCTCACAGAGATGGCGTAAAGCTCACTGTGGAAGCAGTATGGGGAGCCGTGGGCTCTCCAGGAAGAAGACCGGACACTTAACGCTCCTGATAATTCAGACGCCGGTCGGGGGCAGCTCCGTTCGCACCCTGCAGGAGAGTGAAAACACGGGAATGGTGGCGGCTGGGAGACGCGGCACGACCCCGCTCGCCCGCCGCAGCCCCTCGCCGAGGGCAGATGGAGGACGAGCCGCCCCGGCGGCGCCCGCCCCCGCCCCCGCGGCCCCTCTCACCGCGCCCCCGGGCTGCCCCCACACCCGGGACGGACCGTCCCCAACACCCCGGGACCCGACTGTCCCCAGCCCGCCCCGCCATGGCAGCACAGCCGCAGGGCCCCGCGGCCTCCCCGGGCGGCGCGGGCAAAGGCGGCCTGCGAAGAGGCCCCTTGCCCGGCCCCCTCTTACCTTCCCGCGGCGCGAAGGACGCGGAAGCGCAGCCGGCGCCGCTATTTAAGCACCTGCGCCCGGCAGCGCGGGGTAGGGCCAGGCCGAGCCGCCCGGAACAGCGGCGGCGCAGCAGCACCGCCTCTCCTGTGCCCAGCGCCCCGCCCGGCGGCGGCCCCGGCCGGCCCGGAGGGATGGCGGGATCCTCCCAGCGGGCTGCGAGCCGGTCCCGGGGCGGTGCGGGTGTGTACGCTGCCCGGCTGCGACATCGCCAGGGTGATGTGCAGGAGCACGGGTGCAGGTCGCAGGGCAGACCTGTGGCAGGCACCGCTAGAGTCTTGTGTACGTAGAAAGGTCTAGGTGCCCCTGAAATACTGTGGCTTCTAGGTAAGGTAGGTGAGCAGCCCTCTGAGGGAGGTAGTGCCACGTCTCCGACTTCAGGAGCCCTTCTTTTTGTCGTCACTTTGGACTTACCAATGTTTGCCTTACTTCCGCACACTTGGGAACTTGCTAGGCATTAAAGACAGGCAGAGCCTAGATATGACAGTTTTCTTTCAGTGTAGCCACTGGAAACGGGAGAAGATTCCTTCTTGCTAGGTATAGGCAGCATGGAGGAAGAAGCTGGCTCAACTTTGGAAGTTGAGACAGAGAGCTGTGACATGTAATAAGCAGCTGTGTGAGAGGACAAAGAGCCAGGGAAGAAAGATCAGGATGTGCCACTTGTAAGTGGTGTAGCAGTGGTAGGACACTGGGTGAAGACACTGGGACTAAATCTTGCCCAGCTGGTTAGTGGCAGCCTGGTAGCCAGTGAGGTGTGGGGGAAATAGTTTGAGTTTATGCAAGTCAAAACAAGATGAGCCAGAACAGGGATAGAGTGATGCCCAAAAAATAGATGTCGGGAGGAGAGTGGATTAAAGTCTTGCTTGACAGGGAGATAGTTTGGCTACATGGTAAGATTGGGAGGAAATAGTACATATAGGTTTTTGAAGGCGATCTGGATTTGGGTAGAGAACTAGGCAAAACTTGAAATTGAATTGATAACCAAGGAGCATATGAAAATATACATTGGGTGTAGGTAGGAGCTTGTAATGGAGTAGAAGACTTCAAACTTTCCAGAGCTGTATGTTCCTGAGTGTTAGTGACCCTTTGCTGTCTCAACTGTTTTACGTCCCGACTCAGCTACCACCGACTGGAAGGTGACTTCAGTTATGAAACACTTCTGATACTGCTGTGAAGGGTCTCATGGTAAGGAGAGACTGGGAAGTAACAATTCTTGTGTTCTGTAGTGAGGAAAATATTTCAATGAAAAAAAACCCAGGGCATTTAAAAAAAACCCAAAGAGAATGAAAGAAGATCAGCGCTGCTTGTTAGAAACACAAGATGAAGATTAATTGTTGCAAAGAGTGAAAGAGCATCAGAATGTAGAATCAGACTATTTTACGATGTCTGACAACAGTGACATAAGGAGATTTACTTACATTTATATGTCAGTTTCCTAATACCTGACTCTGGTTCTCTTGTTTTTCCAATATAGAGCTTAAATAATTACTAAAAACATTTCAGTATGAAGTACTTTGTCAGGCCAAACTTCCTTCAGTTGTCTGATACTTTTAAACTATTGCTGCTGTGATATATGTTCTGTCTCTTTTGCTGTTACATAAACAGTTTTTTCATTTTGTGTAAATACTTCTTGTACCAAATCTAACATGTCAAGAATTTCAATTTAAAAACAACAACAAAACAAAACCAAAACCAAAAAAGGTCACTCTTAACAAAAGTTAACAAGCTTGTTGGCTAGTATCTACCCAAAAATGATTTCTCTCTCCAAAGCTTGTCATCAGCCTTTCCCCTCCATCCACCAGTTGGGTTTCTTGTAGTGTTGGGCATATGGATTTGATCCCCATGATGAAAGAAGGGATTTCAGGGACATCAGTCTTCAGTTCTTGAGATTCTGACTCAGCCTGGTATTAGTTCTAAGTGGATTAAGGGGCTGTTGATTCCTGTCATGGGACTGCAGTTATAGAAGTGAAATCTTGAGCCATATCCTGTGATTTAAGACAGGAATTAATTTTTAACTATATTTTTTTTAACTTTTAACACAGTAACTGTTTAAGTACAGATAATGAGTATTTTAATTCCAAAGTGTAAGTGGTAATATTTGGCAAAAATGGAACCACATTATGTTTTGCAATACAGAAAAATACTAAGAGAGTTGTTTGTGATAAGTCTGGACAGCATTGTATAACAGTAGTTTTTGGATGCTAGTGGTAGTAGAGAAAATTAAGTATTTTTGACTGGCATGGAACACAATCCTTCAGCTATGGAAAAGTGCAGTACATTCATAGCTGGAGTATGACAGAGAATCCAGAACTACCAGAAAGTCATTGCTTTTGAAATTATTTCTGAGGTCGCAGTCAGTAACACTCGTGAAGACACTGACAAGAAGAATACCATTTGGGATGATGAGCAGAGAAATACAGTGGTTGATGACTGGAAATCAGTTGAGGCTGTTCTGATGGAAGCCACTACTTCAGGCAATAATCCGATGAAATATAAATGGAAATTACTAACTTCTCATTCCTCTTTTTTTTTTTTAATTGAGCAAACATGCTTATAAATGTTTGAACTGTTTGAATTGTTTGACTAAAGATGATGCTCTCTACAAATGAGGGCACAAGTGCAGTAACTAAGACTAAATACTGGTCACTTCTAGATTAAAATTCCACTGTGCAGAAGAGATGTTAATCTGTTGTGAGCAATATGAGATGTGTCAATAAAACCACAGCTGTTGAAATTAGACATGCGAAATACTGGATGTGCAGAGATTGTGCTTTAGTTCAAAACATTAAGCATGATCTGCAGAACCTTTTCAGATGCTTGAAAACACAGCAAGAGAATTCAGGCTGTCCTAAAGTGTCCTGGTGAAAATGTAACTACTAAAGAAATACCTAGTGTTTATAATTTACAGCACACTTTGAAGCTTTGTAAAACATCTCTGAGTCAAGGCAGATGCTACTTGCTTTGTTTCAGTCACAGCTAACCTCTTGTTAGTATGCTTTGAAGCAAGAGCTGCTGAAGAGCACATGGAATAAATGCATAGTAAATTTTAACTTATAAATTGCTACTTGCTTGCTGTGATGGTGTGGACCAAATGAGATGATGATGCCCAAGTCAAGAGTGACCCAGTCCTCCAGCTCCCATTAAGCTCTGTACAGCCAGTTCACAGCAAACAGTCAGTGTGCATAGGAACTGCAAAGCTCAGTTGAATAGCTAAGAACTGTGTGTTTCGCTTTATTTAGGTTCTGGTAGAGTCAAAAGACCTATACTTAGAAATACAAGGATATAAAATGTTTGTTTTATTAGGATTGTCAATAGTCAGAAGTGACAAAAGCATTGCTGTCAATATTCAGTAAGCTTTGGACCAAACTTAATTAACCCTGAAATAGTTCTCTGCAGTTTGGCAAATAGCTACAAAAGAATCACAGAAAAGAGTATCACGCTGACTATACTGGAAGGGAGGGTGAATGAGGTACTGGCACCCTCCCCACAAAACAGCAGCCAGCTGAGTCTGTGGCAGCTGAGTCATGCAGCATACCCTAGTGACCTGTGAAGATCCCTCCTCCAGGAGGAACTGAGAAAGACCCAGTAAGAAGACCAAGCTGACTGTTCTCTTCAGAGCTTGGGCATGCTAGTGGTGTTCATGACCTGGCTGATGGTCACTGTCTCCTCTTCCTAAATCTTATTTCCCACCCTTCCTGCTCCATCCCTTTAAAAAGTGTGTGAATGGAACAGTCTTATTCAATATGTCTGTTAGTAAATCATGGAATCACAGAATTGGAATGGTTTGGCTTGGAAGGAACATGTAAAGGTCATCTAGTTCAACCCCCTTGCAATAAGCAGGGTCTTCTCCAGTTAGATCAGATTGCTCAGAGCCCTGTCCCATCTGATTGTGAATGCTTCCAGGAATGGGGCACCTACCACCGAACTGGGCAAGCCGTTCCAGTGCTGCACCACCATCATCATAAAAAATCTCTTCCTTATATGTACTCTGAATATACCTTCAATTCAGTTTAAAATCTTTATCCTATTGCAATAGACCCTGATTGAAGGTCTATACTCATCTTTCTTATAAGCCCTCTGTAAGTATCAAAAGGAAGTGAGAGACAAGTGATTAAAAATTAATGAAATTCAAAGAGGTTATTCATTAACCATCATAAAAATCAAATAGCTTTGTTTTGGCCAGGAGAGGTAGATCCATATCTCAAATCTGCATCTTAATTTTTTGGATTTGCTTATTCTGCTTGCATTTGACTTTTAAGAGGAAGGCATGACAGCTATTTCAGCTGGTGGCACTGGTAATGCATAACCTGTTGCACTGCACTGTGATGGCACTGGGACGAGGAAATGAGGATAAGCCCTGTGAGTGCTCTTACATGCTACATCCATCAGAATAGGGGGCTGGGCAGGAAACCCTTCCCTGCTGAAGGCTGTGCTGCTTCTTGCAGTCAGAAATTTAATCCTGCAGAAAGGCAGCTTTGTTGTGCTGAAGAAGGAAGCAAAGAGGGATGCAAAGCTCTTCTACTACTTCTCATCCAGTGCATGCAGAGATCCAGTCTGGACTTGAGGAAATATTTCCCCACCTCAGGTGTGCCTATTTGAAATCTTAAAAACCACATAATTTTCTGTTAAAGATTTCATCATCAGTGCCCTTCTTTAAAAGGAACACAAGGCCAGTAGGTTGGATATACACTTAACCAGAAAAAACATGCACGTTGACAGTGTGTCATTGACTGAATTCAATTAACTTTTAAATGTAAATGAGTAAGTTCAGGAGAAAGGACTTCTTTCTACAACCCCTCATGACAAGAAAGACCTCGAAGTGCTGGAGTGTGTCCAAAGAAAGGCAACAAAGCTGATGAAGGGTCTGGAGCAAAAGTCCTATGAAGAACAGCTGAGGGAGCTGAGGTTGTTTAGCCTGGAGAAAAGGAGGCTGAGAGGAGACCTCATCAGTCTCTACAACTCCCTGAAAGGAGATTGTAGTGAGGTAGGTTTG